CTGAGCCACCCAGGTGCCCCGTACACGTATTGAAGCTTTAAAAAATATTAGAGGCATAAAAATATTAACTCCACCCCAGAGAGCATGATTACAAAATAAATTGACGAGCAATTTTTTTTTTTCAACGTTTATTTATTTTTGGGACAGAGAAAGACAGAGCATGAACGGGGGAGGGGCAGAGAGAGAGGGAGACACAGAATCGGAAACAGGCTCCAGGCTCTGAGCCATCAGCCCAGAGCCTGACGCGGGGCTCGAACTCACGGACCGCGAGATCGTGACCTGGCTGAAGTCGGACGCTTAACCGACTGCGCCACCCAGGCGCCCCTGATGAGCAATTTTTAAGTGACATAAACTTGATTTCAATATTGTGTTATAAATATATACGTGGAAGTGTGGTAACGTGGTAACTAGATGTAGTGAGAGAATAGACTTAATGGCTGCCCTCTACTTTCAATTTTTTCTAAGTTTATTTCGAGAGAAGAGAGCATGAGCCGGGGTAAGGGGTAGAGGGGGGCGGGGGGGGGGGGGTGGAGAGGGAATCCCAAGCAGGTTCTGCACTGTCAGCACAGAGCCCAGCGTAGGGTTCAAACTCATGAACCGTGAGATCATGACCTGGGCCGATATCATGAGTTGGATGCTTAACCGCCTAAGCCACCCATGCATCCCACCTTTCCAGATTTTCTGTAACACACACATATTACTTTAATAACCAGAAAGAGCATTTTTAATTTGAACCTCCAACCCATGTCTTAAAGCAATCCAAAAAGGATTCCTGTTACGATGAGCGTTCTCAATGGCACAAGGCTTGTACGTTTCCCAGGCTCCAGATGATGGCTGGATTACACCAGAATATTTCACCACTATTATTTGTACAGTGCATATACAACTATAATAATAACTGCCTCCTGCCTCCGGCTAGTCCCCTGGAAAATAGATCCTGAAGATAAGTTTATAAGCTGAAGCTTTACTGGTGGACTCCCAGGCTGAGGGGAGGAAGGCACGGAAGGGTGAACACATCGTAGTGCACTGTGTTGCTGGCCAGGATTTCACGACAAGGCACGAGTGGTTGTTCAGACGTGTGGGAGGTCTCTGGGCAGATGTCCAGACCAACCTACTGGGGAAAGTCCATCTGGGGGAGGACGGCAGAGGAATTTACCTGCTGGTCACCTCCTGTCTCTCATTGATTAACGTTTGCCCATGAGACATGAACCCCTGGCACTTCCAGGATCAGGTTCCGGATTCCAGTTCTGCCACTGGGGAGAAGCCACCGTCCACACAGCCCAGTGCTTCGCCTGGGTGCAGAGAAGGAAGGTGTGGAAGTCTGGATGGGTCTGGTGCAATGGGCTCTGGGAGCCACAGTGCACGTGGCTGCCTGCGTGGTGGTGTGGGCCGGGCCTCAAGGGGCAGAGGAGCGGATGTGACTGCACGTGGTGTTGGGGGGTAAGTACTGGCCGCAGAGTCTGGGGCTGTGCATCAAGGAGGCACAGGTCCGGGAGTCAGTGGGGTGCCGAGCACATCCAGGAAAGTGCATTCACTGACCCAACACCGCCAACCCCTGGTGCCCCTCGTATACTCTCTCCCTTGACGACCAACTCTCGCGTGCTCAGGACAAGATGCCCCACTGTCTTTCCAAGTCAGAAAGTACAAGTTCAATGTGCCTGAAAGCTCTATTCTAAAAAAAAGCAGGAGCATCCGCCTACTCCTGTTGTACAGAGTGGATCCATCGTCCGGCCAGCCTTCTGACTTCTTCCTCAATACTGCAAAGAGAATGTTCTGGCATTTCCATCGTGTTTACTATAGGCCAACCTCTGGGAACCATCTCAGGTAAGCATTAGACTGGCTCCAAGCTGTCCTTACGAGAATGCTAAATCCCAAGTTCCAGGTAAATGCCCAACATCCAGTCTCTTAGCCAGTGCTTGGTCTAGCTTCCTTATCTACTTCTGCCTAAGCACCCCCAGCTTCTGCCGGTACATTAGCCACTTCCCGCAATTCCTACGGTGTGTGGACAGATCCTTCCAGGATCAGGGTGTAATTCCCAGCGTGGGCTGTCCTGAGCCCCATCTGGTTATCGTGGAAGCAACGACGTGCAGGGAGATTGTGATACCCATCTCGAGAATACAGTAAAACCTTGGATTGTAACCTGTTCTGTGAGTATCCCACAAGCCAAGCAAATACTTCTAATAAATTTTAACTTGTTAAATGAGTGACGTCTTGCAATACGAGCAGTACGTGCTGCCGAACGTCACTCGATCACAACTGAGCCAACGGTTCTTGAAATTCGCTTTGATATACGAGCTCTTTGGATTAGAAGCCGGGTTCTGGACCAAATTATGTCCTCAAACCAAGGTTGTACGGTCATTTTGCATTCTGTCCTCAGGCAAGGGGAAGGCCTGCCAGCTAGGAGGGGTCAGGGCAACGTAGGGTTCAGGATTCTTGGCTTATGTACTCCGTGACCCTATCCCAGCTTTCGGGAGCTCTCTCGTAGACGATCAGAAAAAGTCACCATCTGATTTTGCGGAAGGAAGCCTGTCAAGGTTGCACGCTTCATATCCTTGGCAGTGATGCTATCCTCATAATCAGATCCCGGGCCTGATTTTTCGGTAGGTCTTCCCCGCGGCTGTGTCAGATGAGAGTTGTCTCTGAAAGCTGCCTTGGATGCACCCAAGCTGAAAAAATTGCTTTCCTGTCACTTTCCTTTCCAAGGCCACCATGGCCAAGTGCACCCCGCCCCCTCTGTAGTCTTTACTGGTATCATCGCCCCTGCCCATAACCTTGCCTTCCACCTGCGGTTCATCCTCGTCAATCACAGGCCAGAGCTTGAGTGATGTTGAGGCCACTGCTGGGATCTGTTATCCCAGAGGTGTTCCTATTGGCAAAAGGGTTCCTATCGGTTTCGGATGGGTGGCAATCCTGTTCTAAATCCCATCTGGAGGGTCTATTTTCTAGAAGACTCTGGCACCCAGTGTCGAATTTGGGGTTCCAAAGATAACAGAGTCTGAGGCCAAGCTTCTATGCTAGTGTGTGGTTGTGGGATTAAATAACCCAGCAAGAGAAAGGAGAGAAAGTGGAAATTAAAGCAGGGGAGGAAGGAGAGAAAATACAAGGTGGTGTGCTGAGTTGGCCTCTGCTTAGGAAAGCAACGGTGGTAGGGGGCGCCTGGGGGGCTCGGTCGGTTAAGGGTCCAGCTTCGGCTCAGGTCAAGATCTCACGGTTCGTGAGTTCGAGCCCCGCGTCGGGCTCTGTGCTGACAGCTCGGAGCCTGGAGCCCGCTTCGGATTCTGTCTCTCCCTCTCTCTGCCCCTCCTTCGCTCACGCTCTGTCTCTCTGTCTCAAAAATAAAGAAACGTCTAAAAAAAAAAAAAAAGAATAACACAAGAAGACTTTTCTGCGAGTCCACTGAATAGGACACTTCCAGACAGCAAATGAGCTAGTCCAGGGTGGGGCTGACGTCACAAAACGTCCTGATAAAATTAGTCCCTAGTCAGTCACTGTGGCCCATCTACTATTCTGATGTAGCATTTTCAGCTCGCTGATTAAACCAACGTCCCGTCTTCCCACTGGAGCCACCCAAGGTCACGTCCATGCAAGCAGCCTTTTTTTTTTTTTTAACGTGGTCTTTGAACCTCCAATGAGCATGACGCCGTCCCACAGCCTTGAAATGAAATGGTGGCAGTCCAAATGCCAGAAAGATGGGGAGTAGCTTCTAGGGAACGGAAGGTTGTGAACAGCCCTGCCAGAGAACAGAAACATTAAAAATAGAATTGGATTTTGGTGGCAAGATGGAGAGAAATGTAAGGGTTTCCCCCCCCCCTCTCTTTTTTTGCCTTAATTCATTCCATTGAGAAGTCCGGAAACGTGTTCAGCTTCCACTTTATCCTGTTATATATTCAGTCTTTACGTGTCTTTGCCATCAAAGATCTTCAGGCACAAATAGAAATGCAATGATCGTATTTACTCAGCCACATAACCTTTGACTTCTTTGCGTCTAGTGTATTTTGAGAAAGTGAACAAAAGCTTCCCACTTTTGTCTCCCATCTTAGGCTTTGTTTTTGGTAGTGGAGAAAAGCTGAGAGAGAACGCTCTCGTGATTCAAAACAAAACACCCATTTTTTTTTTAATGTTTATTTATTTTTGAGAGAGAGAGACCTAGCATGGGCAGGAGAGGGGTGGAGAGAGAGGGAGACAGAATCTGAAGCGGGCTCCAGGCTCCCAGCTGTCAGCACAGAGCCCCACGAGGGGCTCGAACCCTCGAGCAGTGAGATCACGACCTGAGCCGAAGTTGGACGCTTAACCGACTGAGCCACCCTGGCACCCCAAAACACACCTCTCTACATACAGAACCTGATTGTCAGTAGGGGCAAAATCGCGTATTTGAAGAGAAGCTGGCTGGTTCAGATGGGCTGGGGTTGGAAGAAAGGGAAGTTGTTTAGGGTTCCTTCACCACTTTCCCCTAAATACCCTTGTCCCCTTCGCCTGAGCTCTGCCCTCAGTAATGCTTACTGGTATGGGCAGTGGCAGAGGGAAAGGTACATGCTCCACCGGTGACGCAGACCGCTCACAGGGCAGGGGCGCAAGGGGACCTCTTTTGTTCCAACAGAGATGCCAGACACCCACTGGTGACGTTCACGGGACGGCCACACGTGTAAACACGGTCAAGTACTATTCTCCCAGACACAGTCCTCCCCGTCCTCCTCCGAACGCACCAGATCACGGAGGAACTGCAAAAACTGAAAACGGAAAGACTGCACGTGACTGCGTAGGACGTATTGTAGTATTTTAATAAAAAGGATAAGCACAAGCACCTTGAACAGAAAGTTCCAAAGCTAGCAGGTGAGTCTGAAAGCTATCACGTGGGACTTTCAGAGCCACAGTTATTAAAACCCTATAAACGTATGCTTTCGTGCCAAGCTGGAAAAAAGAAAAAAAAAAAACCCAGAACAAAATGCAAACCCTAAAACTAACATTCGGTAACCTTAAATACGAAGACACCAACACCACTGTAGAACTTATTTGTACTTTATTAACAATGTGGCTTACAATTTTTTTCAAGTAAAAAGGGTCTTTTCTTTCATTAAGAATAAAAATTAAAATATAACTCTGATATAGATTTTCATTTATTTACATGAAAACATATATACAGAATTCAATCTTACAGGAAACCAAACAACATGCCCTTTGTCCTGCAAATTTCCAAAGTGAAAACACGAATTTTTCCTTGGGACACACCAGAACGGCACACGAGATACGAATCGAATTTCAGTACAAGCTTCTCAAACTGGAATGTAAAACAGCAAAAGAACTTTGGACTTTCACGACTAGGAACAGTTTATGCTTCCAGATAGCATGCTACCTCCCATTCTAAACAACAAATGAGATGATTTTGTTCTCTTCTGTCGTTTCAAAAAAAAAAAAAAATCGTCTCCAATTCCCCATCGCGAGCGGATTTTCCGGCAAACGTTGGTCCCAGGCCTCTCCTTTTCCTTCGGGGTAGCCTTTAGATCCACCTGCAGCACTGCCCTGGCTTCCGGGCTGGTTCACAAGAGACCTACGTGCTCGCCGGCGCACTGAGAACAGGTCAGTAAGACGGAAAGACTACCCGCCCGGGGAAACTGCTTGGGTTCTTTTTATCACCTGAACCGCAGGTGGCTTTTAAACGAACACCCAAGCAGCGCCCCGTGTCAGCAATGACAATGTCTTGGGTAAATTCTGTGGGTCAGATATAGCACGATTCGATTCTATCGCATCCGTGTGTGGGGATACCTGTAAACCAATTCTGGGGATAAAAGCCAGGAGAACCAGATTAAATATTCAACCGAGTTGAAGGGGATAAAGCAATTTCCAGAAGACTTTGAAACGGAAAAGAACGGTAGACGATTAAGAGAATCATGACAACATTGGGCTGCAAACAGGACTTTTCCTTGCGATTAGTTATTGCACCAAAAGACACGGGCCGTTATGTACACGTCTTCAACGTCTTCTTCCTTAAAAACTACAGACACCTTCATTTATTACGCTTCCCTTCAAATCATTGCACACTCGATCACAGCGTTCTAAAGACAGTAGAGTACGTGGACCCTCGGGTCGCCACCTTCACCCAAAAATGACAATGATGCTCAAACCACAGCAAAGGTTTCAACGCTACTGTTTTTATAGTTCTATGTACAGAAATGGGCGTTCTACAAAAGAAGTATGAAAACCCCCAGTGCTTGCAAAACGAAAGGAGAACGGCTCTTTAGAAAGGTGTCTGGTGTAAGATAAAAGGCAGATCTCAGAACGTGCCTGATAACAACACTCAAAATTCTGAGAGAGAAGTTAGGGCACTCAGACCAAGCTTCAAAGACAGAGCCAAATCAAGTCTCCAGAGATCACAGGAAGGGTCAGAGGGGGCGGCGGCAAAGGCTTGGGTCATTTGAATTTACCGAGGAACCAATCAAAGCAAACACAGGAAACGCTCTTTCAGATACGATCAAATAAGGAAAAGCAACCGTAGTAGCCGTGCAGCTCACACACTGCGTGCGAGTCAAACTTTGATCAGAGGAACTTACTTTTAAAAGTGACGGGTGAGTTCTCTGTACTATGCAACTTCGCGGTGAAGGAAACCGGTTTCCGTTTTTTTGTTGTTGTTGTTTTTTGGTGGTTTTTAATTTTTTTTTTTTTTTTTTTGAAAAGCAAAGAGGTTCATCCACTGTGCCAGCCTGCTCTTTTCAGGTTTATATTGTCGTGGGGGGTGGAGAGCTTCCCCAACACAGTCCAAATGCAGTCGGCAAGGCGGGGGCTGAACAAACTCCATTCGTCTTTGGATGGGACCGCGTGGTGCCTCTCGCCACGAAAGACGAGGTGGCATTTCTGCTTCTCAAGTTACACACACTGTGCAGACTGCAAAGTGTCCGTGTGGCCGGGAGGGGAACACGCTTCTCGGCCAGCTCCAGGAGGTAATGCAGGACCCCGGCACACAGAGGGCGGGACTTTGGTCCCAAAGTATTATCAAAGAGACAGAGCATCGACTGTAGCATCTGGGGAGGGAGAAGGGAGGGAGGCGTATCGCCTGTTGGGTGTTTCAACCAAGAAACGTTAGGCTTGGGGCTGTGGCGGCACGTGGGGAAGAGGTGTAAAATCAGCATTTCCTGCCGTAAGAGGCACAGTAACGACACGGTGTAAAATGTTCCTCGCAAATTGGCCCGAGGTATGAGGCGGAAGCTGGTGTGGGTAAATCCTACGGAGAAACGGACGCCTTAGCATTCCGGAACCAAACCGCTACTGATGTGGGCCACACCCGCCACTGGCAATCCCCAGAGCAGCCAAGTTCAGGAGCACGTGGGCAACACTCCCGGCAAAAGCATCTTCTTGGTCCTAAAATGTTTCCGGCTCTCGACGGGCCAGCGGGCGGCCCAGACACGACCTTCGTGAAGGTTCCCCCAGGGCTGGGTCTTCTGCCTCTGGCCCCAGCCCCGTCGTCCTTACGGCTCACTCGCAAAACCATGGTGGGTGAAGCGACTGGTCGCCGCACAGAGACTGAGGACGAGGAGCGTGTTGGGCATCTGGCCCCTCGGGGAGCAGGAGGCCCCCCCAGCAGTGGTGGCCATGACCTGCCCGGGCCACAGCGGAAGGACCTTCCAGCTCTGGCGGGGGGGGGGGGGGCGGCTGCAGAGACGCCCGAAAGGAGCTGCTTGTTCCCATGTTGCCCTTACTTGAAAGGGCACGAGAAGGTCACATTCGCCCCGGAAGTACAAAGACGCGTTGCAGCCACTACATGCCTTCGTGGTTCCAAGCGCAATGGGAACAGCTCGGCTTGAAAAGGCCACGGTGAAGGGTCCTAAGCGAGTCGGCGCGGCGAAAACGCCAAACACCTCGCAACGGACACCCTTTCCAGCGGGCGCCCCAGGCTGAGCCACGGTTAAGGCCGCAAGCATGTGGCTGAGAAGGCAGGGGCGGGGGACCGAGAGGAGGGGGACACTTCAGCTCAGGAGAGAGAAGCCTGGCTGCAGGCCGAGCGCCAGTCAGCGCGGACGCTTCCGTCCCAACAACACCGCCAGTGGCACCGGCTTGGGACGCGGGGGGCCCTTCCGTCCCGGGGCCCCGGGCAGAGCCACTTGCCAAATGTTTAAAACTTGGTGGCAAAAATCAGCTACGGGGAGACAGTGAAGAGTCACCTGCAAAATATGTTTCCCATCTGCATTGGTAGCCAGGACAGAATATTCGTAACAAAGGTCGGCGTCAGTCACCACACTCTGTGAAATCCAACAGAGAATCATGCCTTAAAAACGTAGCCGACACATGACGGCTGAGAAGCCCACTGCATGGGGTCACCCCCGCTGCTGAGACTCTCATCAAGGAGAAAAGATGGAGGGTGGACGGTAAAAAGGAGTAACCGAAGGGCGGGCAGCCTCTGCTCTCGGTGTCGGCCTCCGGACACGTCTAAAGGTTTAGTTTTCCTCGCGCACGTTCCGAAAGGCATCTGGACACCTGCTGCAGCGTGTGGGGGTTGGGGGGGGGGAAGGCAGGGGGGAGCAGTCCATTTGGGTTTGAGTGACCATACTGGGTCCCTCACGGGCACACACACAGAGGGGGTGCTGGTCACCAAAACCCAACCAATTCTCAGAGCCAGAGATCTCTCTTCCAGGGACTGAACCGATTTAACGGAAACTGCCCCAGAAATCAGCAGCCTCCCAGCCAGGGCGGGCTGCAGGGAGCACTCCACGTTGTGGAGATCACGCTTCTTTTTCACCTACTGTGTGTCTCGTGCTGGCAGATCGGGACTCTCAGCAGGAGCAGGATGGGGACAAGGGGTCCCAGAGTGATCCGGTCACCCGAGATCGCAGTTGGTGGCCAGGCGTGCCAGCGGAAGGAGAGTGGGGCTGGGCCGGGTCACTGCCGGCTTCCTGTGGGGAACGCCCGCCTCCTGGGACGTCCCAGGGCCGGGCGCATCGGAGGGGCGCTCGAAGCCAGTCTCATCAAGCGATTCAGGACAGGATCCTTCTGAGGGGATGGTTTATTCAAAGCCTCCCGAAGTCTCTTCCCGTTCCTGCCATTAAGCTCTGCCTTCAGTCCACAGCTCAGCATTTCCCACCAGACTAAAGGAGTCACTCCCTGATGTGGGCGCAATTAAATCAGAACGTTAGCAGTATGTGAAGTTCTACAAAAGGCTGCAAACGGAACCCTCTACAGGCTCCGGATGTCCGTCGCTCAGGAAGAACCACTTCATCGCCTCTCCTTCCTAAAAGCACCTCTGCCGGGCGAGTACGGTCTAGCCCATCCTTCTGTAACCACATCCTGAAACATCGCCTGCAAGTGCGTCTGAGAAATGAGCCGCCACCAAGATCAGACCGTGGTGACATTCATGCCGCGAAAGCCACGTGTGCGTTGCCGTGGAAGAAGCATCCGTAATGACTGCAGAAAACCTCCCAGCCAGGCGCCCTCCTCGGACACATCCAAAAAAGACATCAGCTATGCCTTGGTTTTCAAAGCAAAGCGGGGCCGTGGTTTAGGAAATGCGTCTGCAGGGAGCTGCCTGGACTCAGGCGGGAGAAATGGGAGACACGGACGTACAAAGAAGCTCTTCGGTGCCCTCCAGCGCCTGACGCTGTCCAGAAGCCACCGCTGTGGTAGCGGGCGGGCCTGAAATCGCGGCAACGTCAAACAGGCTGGGGGGTGAAGAGGTCCGCCACGCTCCTTGCTTTTCGGCCCTGGCTTGTAGACGCACCATCGCGCGTCGCCCAGCAAAGTAAAGCTTCAGTCTCGAAACCTTCCCAGGACGCCGCATCCCAAGAGAACGGGTCACCTCCCAAGAGGGCAACATCAGTTGGCGTACTGGGCGTAGAAGGCCACTTTAACTCTCTCGATCTGGTGGCACAGCTTGATGGCGGGCCCCAGCTTCAACTCCATGCATTCTTGAACCGTGGGAAGAGTCAGCAACAGGAGCGCTTGACCGTCGATGTCCTGCCAGGAAACAAAGCCACGTTAGAGCCGAGACACCGGGCGCCAAGGGAAGGTATCTGCCATGGCGGGCTTGCCAAAGGGCGTGAGGGGTGGCTGGTGGGGGTGAAGAGGCGGAAGAGGGAAACCACTGCAGGATCTCGTCCTTCTCAAGGAGATGGCCCCCTGCTGGGAGAGCACCACCCCCTCTGACCCCTGCCCCGGGCCCTCCCGTGTTCTGCCATGACTTGACGTGAGCACTAGAAAAGAGCTCTCTCCGAAAAGCGGCAGCTCTCTCTTTCTTACCCAGGTCTGAACTTTCACCATCGGGATGGGCAAGAAGACGCCGTAGAGGTGAGCGGCCCCCCAGAACAGTTTTCCCTTGAGGAAAACTCAGGTACGTAGATGCACACCACGGCACACGTCTTCGTCTGCACGCCCACATCCCCCAGAGTGAGGCGTACAAGGTCCCCCTCCCAGCTTTGTGTTAGTTAGCTCTCTACAGCCATACATGGGGTCTACATGAGGAAGATGTTCATTAGAGCCTGTGAAGTCACATTCACCACAGGAGGAGGGGACCGAGGCTCACCCCAACACTTTACGATCACCCTGACGGACATCTCTGCCCCTACTGTCACAACTGGGTTTATTTATGGAGACGCTGTTTGACTGGGGTACTGAGTTGAAGTGCAATCCCTTCTTCCTATCCGCCAAGGCAGTCTTCGTGTTCCAGAAGAAGGAAGAGGCTTCTCATGTTCCAGGGGAAGTAAGACAAAGTAACGACAAAGACCCATAGTAGAAGGAGAGCATAAAATGAACTCAGCGCCAACATTTCTGCCGTCTGGAGAAGCAGTGAACCCAAGGCGCCGTAAGCCACAGAGACTTAACAGTCATGCAACTGCACACGCGCTTGTGAGGTCTCGGACATCGTGGGTCATGAGCTACACAGAAGCTTATTTTCTTAAAATGATGGTGTCTTCAGCGGTCTTAAAAATATCAAAAGCAAAGAAACAGAAAGCGTTGACCTTGGGAAGACCAACATGATCAGTTTCAAAAGCCACCTTCGTGTGCTAATAATCCCTGCGGAGTGTGGAGGCCGTAAAAATTAAGCGTTAATTTTACAAGTATCAATGCGAGTGCAGCTTCTGATGTCTCAATTACACAAGCCTCCTCTCAACCAAGACTCAAATTGGACCTTATCGAACCCCGAAGTAAACCTATCAGTCTTGAGTTTACACTGAAAGTAGGAGATGAAGGAAAGTGTCCGTGAGTTTTTGGTGCTCTATTCATAGCACTTTCCCCTTTTTCTATCGTACTCTTGTATGTTACTTTGTCTCTTCGGACGCTACTCTGACTGGAGTAAGAGCAAACTCAAAGTACCGGAAAACAGTGTCTTGCTCAAGGTCACGAACTAAATAAACAGTGGTAGCCGCTGACCTGGGACTGGTATAGCCAACTCCGTTTTCAGAGGCAAAGCCACATATATTCCACCAAAACTCGACAGAGAGGGCGTAGGCCTCGGGATACAAAGTCTCGTGAGTATCACGGGCCTCATAAAAACACACTGTGAGGAGGAACCAGGATGATGTTACAAAACCACGTGAGGTGGCATAACCATTACGTTCAATGAAGAACAGAACAGAAACTTGTTTCAGGAGATGGGAAGTTTTTTTAGGTGGAAATTAACGCCAAAAAAAGCTGGCTGATCTACCTAAGATCACATTGTTAGAGACCAAATTGGAACTGGGACCCATGGTTTTCTGATATTAAATTCTGGAGGGAAAACTGTGCTCTAAACATGCCCACTTAGTATAATGGCCATCGTTGGATGTACGGATTCAATTATAATTGAAAGTCAGCCCTAAAATGCTTCTGTAACTCTCTACAGACCAAGTCGGTGAAGGTGGCTGCCATATGCACGCACACATTTGAATGGAGGATGTCACTTATCTATGGACTCAACAAGCAAGTGTTCCCTGAGCACCTACTCAGGGCCAGGCACTCTGACGACCTCTGCGATTACCACATAAACCAAACAAAGACTCCCTTCCAGGAAAGTAGGAATCTCAAGGGAGGCCATTATGTTGAACAGACCACCACAACACAGAGAGATTAAAGCGTGGACACAGCTATACGCACTAACGGACGGGAACGTGACCAGCCTTATAGGAGTCAGGAAATGTCTCAGGGATCAGCGATGCCTGAACTTATACCAAAGGGGCCGAGGAGACGCATGAAAAGGAGGAGGGACCCACGGAAGACCAGTAGTTCCGGAAAGCATGTATTCAGGGAAAGCGCAGAGACGCGGAAGGTAAAGCTGAGATGGGCCCAGAGGGTCGTTAAGAAACTGGGACTTCCTCTAAGGTGTGCGACCAGAAGTCGCCAGAGGGCGTTAGGCACAGAGGTCACATTGTAGGATTCGAACACCTGCCCGCTGATTTTGGCCACAACGTATTGGCATGGATTAGCAGGCAGGGAAGTTACGAGGGGCTGAAAGGGAGGCCCCACCTCCTAACACCATCACCTTGGAAGACAGGATTTCAACACATGCGTTTGGTGGTGGGGGGGGGGGGGGGGGAGGGGGGAGGTTTGCAACGTTCAGGCTAAAGCACAGGTGCTGTGAACAGAGCCATGTGGCTCCTATCCCGAGCGACGTGCCGTCCGCCGGGTGAGCCGGGACGCACACTTCCGGTGTTTCTGGACGTGCCTCCACCAGGCTGTCCTCAGCTCCCCAAAGACTCCGCATTCTTTTGTGGAGACCTCACGTGGGAAGAAATAAGGAAGGTGAGGGTCAGCTGCATTGAGCTGCAAATATCCTCAAAATGAAAACTCACAGCTAGCGGGGAGGGTGAGCTGAGGTCTGCAATCCCCAAATAGAAACCTCACGATGGCCCCTCACTTCGCCTGTTCTAAGCCTAGCAGGGCTTCTGCCGACGGAGGGCGGACACCGGGAGCGAATGCAGTGCTTACATTAGAGGCCACACTCCAGATTCCTTCCGATACGGCCGAAGCGTTTATCCTGGGGGTGCTACAGCGCCTTTCACCCGCCAGTTCCGTTCTGGAGAGTCGCATCCGCCTCAGTAAACTACTCCTCGAACACCACCCACCTGCCTGTTGGGATAACCGTGCTCGATCCTGAGATCCTAGAATGAACTGTGCCACCACCGTCAGGGTGATCGCCACCGGTCAAATTCGATGGTCACTGGAAGGGTGAACAAGGACACAAGGCGTCTGCTACAGCATTCAGCGCGCGATCCACACGCGAGTATTTCCTGCGCGAACAGGCATCACAGAATATGCCTGACGTGAAGGTCAGGCCTCGAGATAAGGGCTGACCCTGCCCAATTATTTTACAGAGCTGGACAGAGGACGTGGTCTCTTTCCTGGGACATCTCGTGGGAAAATCTGCTGGTGGAGGCACGCCCAAGCCTGCTCCCCCGCACCCACCAGCTGCTACAGGGCCGCGGCCTGAACCGTGTCACTCCCTGTCCTGCCCTTGTGGGTGCTCTTCTTTGGCTGAACAAACCTCAGGAGCACCCTGTATACATCCCCCGTCTCCTTCCGGAGATGTCGGATTGCCTGGTGCTGTGCAATCCCTCCCCCAGCCTCCCTGCTCTGACCACACCACTCCCTGCTCTTACTGCTGCTGACGACTGTTGATGAGCCCATCGGCCCCGGGAGACCAGAAGCCTCTAGAATCGGGGGCCATATCGCCTGTTCTCCTGCCCCGGCCGGCAGGCCTCCGGGGACCGTGCAGCAAAGGGAAGTTGCACAGAGCTGCTCCGGCAGAAAAAAACCAAACGAGAGTGATGGGCAAGTTCATAATGATGGCCTCTGGACCTTTATCAGATCCCAGCCCCTTCCACCCTCACCCCAACACACATTCACTTGGCCCGCAGACGGGCAGAGCCAATGGGAGAGTGCTTTCCAGGCCCTGGTTCCTTCTGCCCCGTGTCGTGCCCGAGGAGAAGGAGGAGTTGGTTTGGAGCGCCTGGGTGGCTCAGCTGGTTAAGCATCCGGCTCCTGATTTCAGCTGAGGTCATCATCTCACGGTTTGTGAGATCGAGCCCTGAGCGGGGCTCTGTGCTGACAGCGTGGAGCCTGCCTGGGATTCTGTCTCACTCTCTCTCTCCCTCTGCTCCTCCCCTGCTCGCACTTTCACTCTCCCTCAAATTAAATGAACAAACTTAAAAAAAAAAAGTAATAAATAAAGAGGTCTCAGCTTTGAGGCCGCGGTTGAGGGGTGGAGAGTTCACGCTCTGAGGGTGAGCTTTGTAAGCGTGGGCAGCTGGACTGGGCAGCTGGACTGGACGGACCCTCCTACGGGCCGGTGCGCTTGACTCGTGTTCTCTGGTGCCCCGCGCACAGCCCCAGTGCACTGGGCATCGCGGAGCGAGGAGAAACACCCGGCCGAATGCGTCTGCACACACGTGAGTGTGCAGGAGGACCAAGGTCACGGGAGGGCTGGGGTGAGGCGGTCTGACTGATCGCAGAGACCTTGTGCCCTGCGTGTCACCTGGAAGCCGGCTGGCATCTCGGGCAGGGCGGGCGTTCTGTGCAGCCTGTTGGCTCTGAGCCGCCTCGGGGCCTCTGGCTGTCGTCCTCGGTTCTCGTTTTCCATCCTCCCTGACGCTGTGCGACCCATCTCCTGCCCTGCCTGTTCTCATCTTCAGACGGATGCGTGATCAAGCGTTAAGAGGCGCCCCTGCTTTCTGAACACCAAAGCGTCCGGCTGCAAGGGGCTGGATTTAGCCACCCGACCATCAGACGGTCGCGGGAGGGGAAGAGGCCGCAGTGGCGGCTCAGGGGCGTCGAAGCCGCGGGTGCCCCCCGACGCTCTCCCGTGCGCAGATGGCCCCACGGCTCGGGGGACAGTGGGGGGACGGAAGCCAGCCCGGGCCCGAGGCTCACCGACCTGGCGTGAGCACCAGGGAAGGAAGCCCACCCCGCATCCCGAGGGCGGCTGCCTGTGTTTTCGTTTGAAAGAAGTGAGCTCTTCCTCGCTGATCGTGTAGTTACAGACCCCGCCGCGGATTTCATTTTTATAGCTCCGCTCTTGCATACTTCTGAGCTGCCGGCAAATCACTCGTATGTGAAACACGGAAAAGGGCCCTAAACAGACTACTGATTTTTGAGAAAGGAGCCCTGGTAAAACACTCAACAGGAAAGAGAAGGCCCAGCACACACAAAATTAAATTTATCTGGGTACGGAGCAGGTCCTCAGCAGGGACATTCAGGTCTACGGAACCAGAGAGCGGACAGCACAGTCCATAAGCTGTCAACGACCCCGAGTTTCTTTCATCGAAGTGAATCACTCGTTGGGGGAGTCTGCTTATTATATGTGTCTCTGCTTCAGAAGAGGTGTATAAAGAGGCAATATTTTATTTAAGAGTTTTGTGTTTTTTTTTTTTCTCTCAGTTACAGACGTGTGGAGTTTTACTGTGCAACGTACATGTTTGCGGCACGAAATTACAGAGCGTAGATGTTTTAAGCTGTTGCCGTAACATTTCAGAATTAAAGGTGGGCCTTCAGGTAATGGGAAGTTTATACTTTGTGTCAGCGGGTTGTGACGGCTTCTGAATGTAGCCATCACCATTCCGCCCTGTGATTTTTCTCCCGCGCTGCTGAACAGAGCCGCCTGCTGGCTCCTTGGGGCCGTCTAAAAGCTCGTGGCTGGCCACGAGGCCTTGGCTGGCCTGACCCGCTGGAGGCCTCACCGAATCATGACCATGGCACTTGGGCTCAAAAAATGATAGAACAAATACACAAAAATTCGTAATTACGGGCCTGATCGAATGGAAAAGGACTCGAATCCCACACACTTCAGATAGCACAGAGGGCAACAGCGTATTATGGTGACGGGGGTGGGGGTGGAAGGCCTAATGAGAAATCTGAAATAAGAACAAGGCTATTATCAATTAAAAGCTTACCTATTTTTCTGCCTATAAGAGTTAAATAAGTAGGTATGTACGACCAAGCTTTTAACCAACATAAGAAGAGAAATTGGAGACAGGGCCCTGCCCACTGCCTGGTTCTAGAAGTGCTAACGTACCAGGCATGCTTCATTTCTTAGACATGTTAGCTTGGGAAGACCGGAAACTTCCTGAGATAACCGTAATAAGCTGGGCTCAGAAGGACAATTAAGGATAACTCAGCATCTGTACTATTTGAGCCTTTTTCCCAAGTCAGCTTTGTTTTCACTTTCTTGCTTAGTATTAGAAAGCTGTACGGACGCCTGGGTGGCTCAGTCGGGTAAGCATCTGACTCTTGGTTTCAGCTCAGGTCATGATCTGACGGTTCGTGAGATCGAGCCCTGTATCAGGCTCTTCACGGACAATGTGGAGCCTGCTTGGGATTCTCTCTCTCTGCCCCTCCTCTGCTTGTTCCCGGTCTCAAAATAAAAACTTAAAAAAAAAAAAAAAGAAACCTGTAAAAACAATCCCACTCGAGCCTGGTGGCCTCTCACAGTGCTGCTCGGCCATAACTGAGCAGGGGAGCTCTGTGCTCTGCTCTGCCCACAGCCCAGGTGAAAAGCGTTTCTCAGTCAAAACTGGGCATTTGGGTCTACAGATGAAATAAAGCAAAAAAAAAAAAAAAAAACAAAACACAACTGCAGATAATCTAGAATACCACCTTCTACACCTACCTTTTGAATATCTTAAGACCCATAAACACATGCCCTGTCGATGTACACGGAACGAACACACGAGCAAAGAGATCCACACGTTAAACTTTGGGTCATCAGCACGTGGCACGCACTCCAATGCAATGCCTTGTTCGCGGTGTCACTATGGGCCAACAGCAGCCTGGGAAAACGCTGCATTAGGCAACGCTCTTAGCAGGGGTTCAACCCACTGCTTTATTCTTGTTTTCAGGACTGAGATGCTCCAAATCGTGCCAGCCCTCGTGGTGGCTGTAACTGTCCCCTGTTTGTGTGTTTTGAACGAAGGGACACCCTCATGGCCCAGTTCCCTACATGCGATGCAGCTTTTTTCTCCTTTCTGCTTTTCTGGTCCCTCAGAGAGGAAGTGCTGATAATGTCACACAGCAAGGTGACCCTCCCCTGTGGCCGCCGCTCCCTCCTTCACGTGCACTTGCTGGGTGTCTACAGGGAGACTCTGGTGGTCGACCAGTCGGCAACCTTTGAATGTTTGAAGTGCTACCCTCTCCCAGGAGGAGCTGGGAACCACATTAATTTGCTTTTTACACAGCAGGCCTGGAGGAAAATCTGGGGGATACACTGGGTGCATGCAGAATCAGAGGCCTTTCTTTTCTCTTCCTGATTTAATGCCTGAGTTACTTTCTTTCCAGAGCATCCGTCTGCATAATCTAAAAAAGCACTGGATAGACACATCTTTAATTGATTAGATGGTAAACGGTTGTTTTTTTTTTTTTAAATGCCAGGTCCTGAAAGACGGATATTTATACACGGCGAGACAACGTGAGACATGCAGGGAACACGGCGGCATAAGTCGCGCGGGCTCCACCTGGCGCTTCCGTAGGAGGCCAGGGGGCAGCCTGGTGGCACAGGTCCAGAGGGGCAACCTGTTTCCATACCCATTTAAGGGGCAATGGAACCCAATCCCTCCTTTCCCGAGGCTCATAGCATGTCTTACGTTTCGGCTAATTACGATCGTCTCACCTGCAGAGTCAAAACGCCATTAAAGGATAGATGTTATCCGGGAAGCCTGGGTGGCTCAGTTGGTTTAGCATCCAATTTCGGCTCAGGTCATGATCTCGCGGTTCATGAGTTCGAGCCCTGTGTGAGGCTCTGTGCTGACAGCGCAGAGTCTGGAGCCTGCTTCAGATTCTGTGTCTCCTTCTCTCTCTGTCCCCGCCCCCCCACCCTGCTCATGCTCTCTCTCTCTCTCTCTCTCTCTCTGTCTCAAAAATAAACATTAAATGGGGCGCCTGGGTGGCGCAGTCGGTTAAGCGTCCGACTTCAGCCAGGTCACGATCTCGCGGTCCGTGAGTTCGAGCCCCGCGTCGGGCTCTGGGCTGACAGCTCAGAGCCTGGAGCCTGTTTCGGATTCTGTGTCTCCCTCTCTCTCTGCCCCTCCCCCGTTCATGCTCTGTCTCTCTCTGTCCCAAAAATAAATAAATGTTGAAAAAAAAAAAAAATTAAAAAAAAAAAAATAAACATTAAAAAAATTAAAACTAAAAAAAAGGATTGATGCAATCATCCATCATCCTTTGGCACCGCACCTAACATACCCTGGGTTGTTGACATTTTTACAAATGCAAGAGTGAAACAAATATGAAAACATCACGCGAAACACAGCAGGACAAGGGCTCCCACCTCTGGGAAGAGGAGCACACATCCTTTCCCTGTTTCTCCCACTAAATGTAACAAAAGCCCTGAATGTTATGAATCAAACGTACGGCAGAGAGAAGGTGGCAGACCGGCAGGGACTTGGGGACCTGAGTTGGGGACGGCGGGGCGTGCCCTTGTTGTGTGTCTGCCTTCTGCAGCCAAGACCGATTGCTAAAGAAGCTTGCAACCCCCGCAATGCCAATGTGCATGAGGGAAAGGGGCCCCACGGCAGCCTGCTCTTTTCAGCCAAAGGACTGAGGAAAAGGGAGCGTCGGCAGACAGAAACCTTTTAGACAAAAATGGCCTTCCTGCAGGACAGAGAACCCCCGCCTCCAAGAGCAGCAAAGGCCGGGCGAGGGACCCTGATGTCCAGTGTGCCCGGATGACCCCAGGCCCCCAGCGCCCCCACAAGGGATTATCAGGGAAAACCAAGTGGGGCCTTCCTCGACAGCAAGGAGCCCCCCCCGCAGAGGTGTCAGGGAGGGATCACGTGTGCACCCGGGCTGGCAGCCACCTCTTCCCCCCCAGTAACAGGGAGGCACCCTCTCCCCTGCCAGAGCCGGGTCCCAGAGAGCCAGCTCAATCAGAAGAGCCAACAAAACGTCACCAATGCAGCAGGAGGGCGAACGCACCTGTTCCTGAAAGATCTTGGCCAGGGGGGCGCAGTCCGTCAGCTTGATGAACCTCACCACGTCGGTCACCGTCCACTCCAGAGGGTTGCTCTCCAGAACCAGCCTCTCCTCCTCCTCTTGCTTTGTTTCCTGACGGGAGAAGGGGTAAGGAGGTCATTTCATCCCTGCACGGACGCTCAGGAAACCCCGTGGGCCCGAGCGGGATTATCCTTCCTCCCTCTGGCCTCTCCCCGGGCACCCGGACGGCCCACAGAAACTGCCGGTCTCTAGGGACTTTCTTAGCAATTCATCTGGGTTGTGACTTGGCCTCCAATGACTCGTGTGCCTTTAGAGGTGGAACAAACAAACAAGCAAAGGCACAGTGGGAGCAGTTGCTGAAAACCAAGTTCATCGGGACATCTGGGGCCTGCTTAGCCAGGATGCGTCTCCGACTGAGGAGAGATGGTGTGGGGCGTATGAGAACGCACAGGAGACAGCCAGGTTTTCCCCATTTATTTTGGGGACGATGGGGCGGATGGCCTTCCAGCTGAGCGGGCGTGGGGAAGACCGGATACGCTGATTTCACATTTTACAGCATCACAGAGGCCCCTCCGTGAAGGGAAAGCCTGCTGTTCAGGGGACCTTGAGGACTTATTCTGTCTGTCCTCCTGACGAGAATCCTTCGAGGCTGTGAAACCTTCCAGAGAAAAAGGTGCCATGACTTCCCTCTGAACTCCACTCCAGACGTCACCAGGCCTTGTGCCCGGATGTGGGAGCCAGGCTGGAGCTGCTGCCACTGCTTTTAGTATTTTAGTTTAAAAATTTCTTTAATGTTTATTTGTTTATTTAGAGAGACACGTGAGCAGGGAAGGGCTAGAGAGAGAGGAGGAGAGAGAATCCCAAGCAGGCTCTGCACGTCCCGCGAGGGGCCCGATGCGGGGTTTGAGCTCAGGACTCGTGAGCCGTGAGATCACCACTTGAGCCGAAGTCGGACACTTAACCGACTGAGCCACCCAGGCGCCCCGCTTTTGGTATGTTTACAGGGACCCCCGAATCAAGGCCTTGACCTTCAACACGCTGTGGCAGCCCCCCACCCCCCAACAAGCCGGGGGGGGGGCCCGTGGGTCTCACCTCTGCGGGGTCCTGGCCGCCGGCCGCGCCCTGCTCCCCGCCCTCGGCACAGGAGGCGGCCTGCGCCCTCCGGCCCCTTCGCGGCCTCTCCACGGGCGGCCGGCGCTCGGGCTCCGAGCTGCTCCTCAGGGTGACGGCCCTCCGGGGCCGCGTGGAGGGGACGTCGGCGGAAGAGGTGTCTGTCTGGTCGTCGCGGAGCTCGGAGCCGGTTTCCTCGCTCCCCGTGTCCTCGTCCATGGCGTCCGCATCCTCCTCCTCGCTCTCCTGGGGCCAAGGGCAGGCGCTGAAGGGCGGCTTCTCCCCCCGGCCCCCCGGCTGACCCACCCCGCCGTCCCCGCCTCGGTCCCCGTCGCAGCCCCCTCCCAGGCCGCGTGGCTGAGTGGCTGCACTGCTTTCCGCGAGGAAGAGGCAGGGCTCCCGGTATACTCGGAGCCGCGGCCTTGGCCGTGAGCAGCCGCAGGGGCCGGCCGGGGCCGTGAGCTCCGGCAACCGCAGGGAGGTGCTTTGAGCAGGACGTACCTCCCCCGAGCCGGCGGCAAAGTCCGCGGCAGAAGACCTGCGCTTCTTCTGCACGAAGATGGATTTTCGCCGTTTCCTGCGTCTGGCTGGCTTCGGGGGTCCGCTCTCGACGCTGGCTTCCCCAATGGGGGGTTTCACGATCTTCTTCCTCTTTCCGTAATAATAGGCTGCAAGGGGTCAGAGGATCAAAAACGTTTTTTAAAGGTCCCGCACGCGTACGGATATGTGGACAGAGAGAGACAGTAGAGAGACAAGAGGAAGATGGGGAGGAGAGAAAGAAGAGAAGAGAAGGCTCATTCTTTCATTGGGAACAATAAATTCCGACATCTCACGTACACCTCAGGTTTCCCTGTTCCCTCCACAGGAGGAACGTTCCTCCAATGCCCTCATATCCTGAGGGTGTTACTGACAAGCCTTGAAAATTCAAACGTTAGAGCCCTAACCCCCCATGTGACTGTATTTGGAGAGGAGGCCTTTAAGGAGGAGCTTAAGGTAAATGAGGTCAGAGGAACGGGGCCTTAATCCACAGGACCAGTGTGCTTACGAGAAGAGGAACAGACACTCGGAATGTGCACACGGAGGGAAGGCCACGTGGGGACAGAGACAACAGCCGTTGGCAAGCCCAAAGAGAGGCCGCAGCAGAAACTGACCCTGGTCTTGGTGTGTGTCTGCATTAACGCTTAGAGCACCCATTAGAAAATTATCTACCAACTTTCAATAATGATTGATATATTTTATAAATTCAATGTGCGATCAACTCATTAAAACCACTGTTAAGGATCCAGTTTTCAATTACGATCCCAATCAAGACTCACTGCTGAAAATCTCAAGTGTCCCCCAAGATCACCCCCCATTATTCCATAAAGAACCAAACGCAGACGGGCACCTGGGGGTGGGGGGCTCAATCGGTTAAGCGTCCGACTCTGGATCTCGGCTCAGGTCACGATCTCATGGATCATGGGGTCGAACCCTATGACGGGTTCTGTGCTGACAGGGTGGAGCCTGCTTGGGATTCTCTCTCCTCTCTCTCTCTCTCTCTCTCTCTCTGCCCCTCCCCCTTTGCTCAAAATTAATACACAAGCATTTAAAAAAAAACAAACAAATGCAGAAAAGGAACTTTTATCTATGGTTGGAGGGAGCTAAGAAGAACACCAAAACACACAGCTCCTGGGTTACGGTGAAGCACGTGATCTTTGACAGAGCCGTGGTTTCCATACGTGCCCACGCTGCTGTATTCCTACGGAAAAGTCTGGCCCCGGGCCTCAGTTTCCTCACATGCAACATGAGACCAGTGGGACCAAGTGGCGAGATCGCTGCCTCATGGTTACTCTTAGATACCGGTTACAAGTGGGTAAGCATTTGCTGGCAACCAAGAACCCCACGCGGGCAAGACAAGCCTGGTGCAGTCTGGCTTTCTAGAAGCCAGATGCTAGGAATCAGAGCAGTTTTACCAGACATAAACGCAAGTGTGGCACACTTTGGGAGCCATGAGGTCACACTGGGTGACCACAGACCTTTCTGCTCTCAGTTCTCCCTGAGCCTCCCCCCTGGAGCATCGGTTCAGCCCGTAGCAGGCTTTACTCTAAGTTGCCCCAGCGATCTTAGAATTTTGACGTCCTATCATACCAGACCCAGAAAAATCTGTAAGTCGTTTTGGTCGTGCTTAATTTGAGCTGTAGTAACCCGCTTCTTCCCTCTTGTTCCCCTGATCCGAAAGCGCACAGAAGCCCATTTTTTAAGGTCAACATTCAAGGCCAGGTTTAGCTCTCAGTCAGGTCCTTTCTGACCCGGAAGCTTCTGTTAATGAGAAGCCTGCTTCAGGGAGTCCCTCCTCCCGCCCAAGGTAACATGAGGCGTCTCCGGACAGGACGGTGACCTCACCGGGCCCTACAGACATGCCTTCGCCTCCCCATGCACGAGGGTGGAGGCTGTGTGCTCCAAGCTGACGGAGGAGGGTGCTGACTTTTAGCAGGGATGGAGTGGACAACAGGATTTAGAATATACACGCACATACAGAGAGAACACTACAAGGAAATTCACACTCAGAGCGGTGTCTCAAGGATGTGCAAATTCTTGGTTCGGACACACAAGCCAATCAGTCCCAACTGGCTGGGGCTCCCGGAGCACTGACCACACTCCAGAGGGCCTGGTGTGGGATCCTGGCAGCTGGAACGTGGGCTGGCGGTGGAACAGAGCTCCAGGCCACCGTGATGGGGATGCAGCCACTCCCGGGTCAGAGATAACCCAGGGGAGACGTTGCAAGAGCAAAAGCGGGGATGGGGGAGTCAGCAGAGCTCGAGATAATCCGAGGTGCAGGTGTCTGGGAGCGGCTACAGTGCATGCAGACAAAGGCCAGAGCTGAGGCCTTTCTCCAGCCGTCCTTCCAGCAGAGCATTTCCAAACCCAGCCAATCGCCTGAAAGTCACGGCACACGCGCTCTCACTTCTTCCTGGGCAATGCCTGCCGCTGTGAATTCGTTCTGGGGTCAATCAGCCCGTCCCTGCCTTCCCCTGGGCTGGAGACACATGAGCACATACCACGGCGAATCTTAATTCCTCCGTGGCAGTTCCCGTGGAAAAGCACTCCGCAGTGTGTTGTGGTTAAAAAAAAAAAAAAAAAAACCCAAACAAAAAAGACCAACTCCCTTACCCCACGGTTTAAGCCCAGACCCCCGTGTTGTTTTCGTAGTTTGTACTTACTGTACTTGGTTTTGGTGTGAATGGAGCAGTTCTCTGGGCAGTTTTCGGAAACCAGCACGGGACTGAACAAATTTGGGCAGCACTCCAGCTTGGCACAGACCCGCCGGCAGAAATCCGCTACTTGGTCGGACGTCCGCACGATCTTGGCCACGGCCCTGTAGGTTTTGCCTCTGTATCTGGAAGGAAGAAAGGAAAAGCAACCGCGAGGCCGCACAGTTACTCGGACCTGTTCCGTACGGCGGATTCCAAAAGCAGCCCCTTTATTTCCTAGCAACAAATCGCACAGCGTGTGGGACTTGCGGGCCATTTGTTTTTACGTTTCCTTCCGAGCTCACCACGGCATTTTTAAGGAAGCCCAGCATCGTGCCCAGCGCACGTGACTGAGGGCTGTAACAGAATCCCCTCCACAAATACGTCCGCTTAGCACCTTCTCTCTGTGGGATACGCGATGGAACGTTCCAGAATGCTTCTGGAATCCAGACATGGTCTCGTGTTGCTCATCGCTTTTGAGGAAAAAGAACTTTATCCTGCCCACGGAAAACCACAGGCGGTGAAGCCACTGACAAAAGAGTAGAGACCGTTTCTTCTAGAAAGCAGGGTGGATGGATTGTTCTTCAAAAATGGGCACCAAAGCCCTGGTCCAAATATTTACGGTAGTGATGACGTAAGTAATGCCTGGCTCTTCCGAGCACTTGGATGAATCACCTGTCAGCACATTTTTTAAAATATCCCTGGTACAAAACAATTATAACCTTCTCAGCTGGCAGCGTCTTAGCTGACGTATCGCGGAACTCAAGAGTCCACCTACACGAAGAAGTCATCAAAACCGTGGGGCCTCTTCAACGGTGCCCTTCATGCACACCCTAACTTTCAAGCTGAAATCTCGCACAACAATTTCTTTTGCAGGAAAACAGCAGGCTCTCTGGCAGGTGACACTCGCGTTAGTCTTTGGAAACTAGGCCAAAATCCAGAGGCATGAACCACCGAGTAGGGCAACGCTGCCCTTGCACTTGGGATGCGCCGAACCTCGCCAAACCTGCAGAGCCCGTTTGTGTTTCGGGGTTTCCAAAAGTCTGCCACAAAACAGCGGGAATACCACGCAGTTCGTGCAAGCAGCGTAACGTAAGGAGAGCATCGCTTTTGTAATTTGCGAATAAAATACTGCGTTCGGTGGGCACCCGGGGGCTCAGTCGGTTGAGCGTCCGACTTCAGCTCAGGTCACGATCTCGCGGCTCGTGAGTTCGAGCCCCACGTCGGGCTCTGTGCTGACGGCTCGGAGCTTGGAGCCTGCTGCGGATTCCGTGTCTCCCTCTCTCTGCCCCTCCCCCACTCACACTCTTTCAAAATTAAATACATGCGAAAAAAAAATTTTTTTTTAAATATTACACTCAAAACCTAGATCTGGTTCCCTAAGAATAATGCAGTGATAGAAATAAACAGGATAAACTGATTCTGGGTTTATTTCAGCTTGGTTTTCTTTCTACGCTTCTGAAGGCCGGGAGAATACTACCCCCTCGCGATATCATTTCTTTTACAGTATCCATAGCCAAAAAAATTAAATTCTAACTTGAAAAATCTGGCCTTTGTGTTCATTCTCTGGTCTTTCTAATCCCAGCCCTTCTGTACTGATTGCTGTTATATTTCTCTGAAGTGCCAAGCATGGCTTTCCAGGTAGGAAGAACTAAAAAGCAATTCTTTGTAGATAAGATCATGCTTTAAATCACACAGCCCTGAACAACTGTTGATCCTTCTAGGCCCTCTCTTGACCCTCGGTGTAGGAAGGCAGCCCCAGCCCTGAGGAGGGCTCTGTGATTCACCTGTGGCTAGTTCTTGCTCATGGCTTTCGTCATGCTTCATAATAAACCCAGCACAATTCTGTGGACACAGCAAACCGCTAAGGTTCTGGGGCAAGCAGAATAAAAACATGCCACGGATGTGACGTCCCTGGAAGTTTTTTCCCACTGTGATTTTTAACACTTTTTAAATGTTTGTTTATTTTTGAGAGAGAGACAGAGCCAGTGCACGAGCAGGTCCCAGGCTCTGAGCTGTCAGCACAGAGCTCAACGTGGGGCTCGAACCCACAAACTTCGAGATCGTGATCTGAGCTGAAGTCGGATGCTTAACCGGCTGAGTCCCCCAGCACCCCTCCCACCACAATTTTGGTAGCCCTAGGGTGCTCTCCTTTAAAGAGCTCAATATCAAGATTCTTGAAGCCTCTTAAAAAAATAAAATGATACATTGGGGCACCTGCTTGGGATCCTCTCCGTCTACCCCCTCTGCCCCTCCCCTGTGCCCGTGCACACACAGTCTCTCTCAAAAATAAATAAACTTCAGGGGCGCCTGGGTGGCGCAGTCGGTTAAGCGTCCGACTTCAGCCAGGTCATGATCTCGCGGTCCGTGAGTTCGAGCCCCGCGTCGGGCTCTGGGCTGATGGCTCAGAGCCTGGAGCCTGTTTTCGATTCTGTGTCTCCCTCTCTCTCTGCTCCTCCCCCATTCATGCTCTGTCTCTCTCTGTCCTAAAAATAAATAAACGTTGAAAAAAAAAATTTAAAAAAATAAATAAACTTCAAAAAAGCAAAAAAAAAAGTGAAAAAAAGTGAAAATAAGTAAAATGATTTTAAAGTAAAAAAAGCAGGACAAATGTGAAAACTGGGGTCCGAATTCAAACCATGTAAGTAGGGCCCAAAGACAGAGGTTCCCAGGCCTCCAAATTCCAAAGCAGAGGCTTCCAGAAACACGTTAGAGGGATGTTAAGGGGACAAGAACAAGTGTCCATGGGAAATGGCGAAGGGGTGGCTTTTTCTTCCCTTCTAGTTCGGGACGACTCCGGGGAAGCAGGCGTGTCCGCAAACCTTTCGCGGTTAGGAAACGCGAATCTAAATTTGCGAAAACAGAACTAGAGGATGGTTTGCCAGCGAAGGAATACTCTCCCCTCCCTGCCCCTTCTGGAACAGCTCTATTGAAAAGCCACGACGGAGGCGGGGGAGGGGGGGAGCCGGTGGGGGGGGGAAGGTGCGCGGGCTGGGGAGGCCAGGTGGGGCCACCATGTCCTGGCATAGGGCGGACGCCGCGATGCCCCCCCCCCGCCGCTGGCAGAGCTGCTCACAGCTGGCCCACACCGCTGGCCCCCAGAGGGTCCCCCCAGCCGCAGGAGCCGCGGCCCTCTCCGCTCCCGGGGAGTGACTGCAGTGGGGCAGAAGCGTCCATCCACTCGGGCCCGACGCGGAACCACCACGGGGGCCATTCTGACTCCGGAGACAGCCGGGGACCACGGTCCCTCCCCCGCCCCATCCTGCTCCCTCCCTCTCCCTCCGCCGTGGTCTCGAGGGTCGTCCTTCGTTAAAAGGATCCCGGTCTGTGGCAGGTGGAGAGGGAGAGGCAGGGCGGAGGCAGCCCTGTGCTGGCGGCTGCTGAGCTCTGAGCGGGACGCAGAGGACGTGGGCACGGGGGGGACTGGTTCCGTGGCGGGGCCTGAAGGCCGTGAGGGCCAGCTGTGCCCGCTGTGTGTTGGCCGGCGTGCAAATACGGGAAAGCAAAAGGCGAGAGCGAGCCCTGCAGAGCGGGGCGCGAACTCACGAACTGTGAGACCACGACCTGAGCAGAAGCCAAGAGTCGGACACTTAACGGGCTGAGCCGCCCAGGCGCCCCGTCCGGTGGGATATTTGAGGTGATGTGGAAAACAAGCTGTTTGGACCTCACAGCCCCAGCCCGGACCAAGATCCTGGCTTGTCTGGAGTCGGTCCACACGTGAGGGCGATTGTTCACACGAGTCTTTTTTCACAAGGACGCACTCAACACGCGGAGATACCGGCCTACCGAAAACAGAGGCAAAAGGCGGCCCTGAGATTTGACGCAACGGCTGGGGTCTAGTGGGACACCGGCGTTTCTGGGGTGCTGTTGTTTCTATTTCCTCCGAGACTCCGCACCACGTGGCCATCCTCTGATCCTTAGGGCCTCCCGGGACAGACAGACAGGTGCCAGTAGATCCGACAGACGTGGAGAGGCAGGAGGGCAGCACGCAGGGCACCAGGGGGGCTCCACCGCCACGTCCTGGCCCCCTCACCAGTCTTGACCGCAGGAGAAAGCGGAGCCCGCTTTGAAGCTCTCCCCACCACGAGAGGTGTACGAACAGCAGGCCAACGACAGGCCTTCGTGGGGAGACGTGTGAGGAGAGCGGCTCAAGGGCACAGGAGGAAGCTCTCTGCTATAGCCTGGCAGTGCGTGTCTGGAGGGAAGGACACTCGGCCGCATAATTTGTTAAGTGGCCCAGCAGACCTGTCTTAAACCCAACACAAGGTAAGGTTTTTAAAGCACAGAGTACAAGTTCTGTGAAGAAACAGAGGAGAATACTGAAAGAGACCATGAGGCTAGTACACAGAATGGAACTCCTGGCATTATGATCAATCTTGGAAGGAAGAAGAGAGGGAGGGAGGCAGGAGGGAGGGGGGGAGGAAGGAAGGAGGAAAAGGAGGAGGGAGGGAGGGAGGGAGGGAGGAAGGAAGGGAGGGAGGCAGGAAGGAAAAAAGAAGTAGAAGATCAGCGGGTCGGAAGTGACGAAGGTAAGAAAGGTGGGGAAGGAGGGAGCCACAGGAAGATCTGTGGTGAGCAACAGTCCACGGAGGAGCTTCGACTCCGTCATTTTTAAGACTCCTTCACCCCGTTCCCTTAGCACCTCTGCATTACTGGAGGGACCCCTGAGGGACACACTTCCTGGCCGTCACCGCGGGGACGCACTCAGAAGCCCGGAGTCCAGAGATTATTTTTAGATAAAGATGTGTGGGATTCAACGGACGCAGAAAGCAGCTTTCTCACAGCTCCCGTTATCTGACTAAGAGCAGACACTTCTGAGAAATGAGGACTACCATTAAATTCCCTCTTTGGAGTGGCTTCTAACCCCAGGAGAGAGACCAGAGTAAACCTACCGTAAATCCCTTCTCAGGAGTTGCATGACCATGAAGAAGACACAAAGACTGCTTTATGCCTGCATAAGGCAACATTTTCACAAACTTTCTTTTCCCCCATTCGCTCTCCTAAAAACTCATTTGTCTTTCATAAAGAAACCTATTTGTTCTAACTGCCCCTTCAAGTTAATCATCCCGAAGTACCTTGCCTGCTGTGTGTTCACTGCTCCTTAAGTAAATGGTCTTTCCTCTTGATAATCTGTCTTTTGTCAGTTTAATTTGCAGGCTCCCAGGGACTGAACATAACAGGGTAGAAAAAATGTTTTTCCTCCTTGACATCAATAAGGAAGTATGAACGGCCTTCTGGTATCTTCCTACCCATTAGAACAGGGATTTATTTCCACATGGGAGTGCAGTATGGTAGGGCCCAGAAAGACAGAAACCCAAGGGTACTAGAAAAAGTCTCTTTCAATAGTCAGGAGTTGAGGAAAACCAAAATGGATTTTGAGTCAACAGGAAATACAGACTGAAAACAACCCACAATCCTGTAATGATCCATGTAAAAGTATCAGTACGGTCCAAGGGGGATGACTTCAATTTGGCATGAGTTCTAGTATTCACTTTCAAACGGACCCAGAGCGGGACCTTTTAGCAAACTCTTGGGAGGGAGCGACAGGCGTGTGAGAACAGAAAACGAGGTTCTACTCCGTCAAGCTGAATTCACATCCTCGAGTACTGAAGGGAGAATTTAACTCCGCAGAAACAGAAAAGCTTCAGATTTCGGAGGGGGGGGGGAATCACTCTTGTCGTTGGCACCAATAAGATACGATCCTGATCTCCTCCAGAAGACAGCCTCTCCTTCACGGTCACATCTCGATCGCCAAAACCACGGTCGACACACCGGGTCACTGGTTTTTGGTCTTATGAAACTCAACCCCTCAGACACCTCTCCCTTCTTTCTCGATTCCTGCATTTCAATTAATGAGAACTCTAATCATTACGAGCAACACACTGGGGAGAGGGGTGATTATTTTCAGAAACACCCCATCCAATTCCGAACATCCTCAACTGATCTGTGTTTGAACCAGAAACACCACGCGCATAACCTCATGAACTCAATCAGGCACACGCAGAACTCCAGGCTTCCGCTCCACAAACCGGTTCGGCCGCCTGCTTCCTGGACTGTTTACGGTATACATTTTCAGGACGGCAAGTGCCCAACGGAAAAATGAACAAATGAGCGAGCTACATTTTTTATTCAGTGACAAGTTTCCGTTTTGTGAATCCTTTTTCACACAAATCACTTTATAGCCAAATAGTACATCTTGCTATTCACAAAATACGAGCATGAGTAGAAGACCAAAAAAAAAAAAAAAAAAAAAAAAAGGTGAAATCAAAACATATAAAAATTAGTAATTGCTGATGGAAAAGAAACAAAAATACCAATTCCAGAGAGCCAAGCATGACTCACCTCAAAGATGTGACTTTCTTTGCTTCTGCCTAAGTGATAAGGAAGTCTAACTCACTCCAAATTAAAGAGGACATTTCCTCTTTAAATATTCTGAATAACTCTAACAGAAGACTGGGAAAATCTATAAAGCCTGCACCTGGATTTTTTTTTTTTAATTTTTTTTTCAACGTTTATTTATTTTGGGGACAGAGAGAGACAGAGCATGAACGGGGAAGGGGCAGAGAGAGAGGGAGACACAGAATCGGAAACAGGCTCCAGGCTCCGAGCCATCAGCCCAGAGCCTGACGCGGGGCTCGAACTCACGGACCGCGAGATCGTGACCTGGCTGAAGTCGGACGCTTAACCGACTGCGCCACCCAGGCGCCCCTGCACCTGGATTTTATGAAGATTATCACAAAAGCCACTCAAAGCAGAGTTAACAGTCTTTCCCCCCCAAGAAGATTCTATAACGTGTCAGAAAACATTTAAGTGTCTCTAGATGCACAGAGTGGGAACTTTTTTTAATCCCCCTGAGGCAGAGCCTAAATTCCTCCTCCTGAAATTCAAAATAACGTAGGTCAATTCAGAACACCCGAGTTCATCAGAAAGAGAATTCTCTCTTCCAGGACTGCCGAAACGAACGATGTTAGAAGCTACTGTTCCTCCGGCACCTCTCAATACGTGCTGCAGACTCACGACAGCACCCCTTACGCGGTGTTCAATACTGCGATATTTTGTTTCCGTAGGAAAGGTACCGCCGTTGGACAAATAGGAAAAAAATCACTACGGGGCAATGTTCCTTTTCCTCCCACATACGGGTCAAACCTTTTCAATGGAACCTCCATCCGGTCAAGTAAGTGGGTTTTTTACTCTTCACAAGAGGAAAAACCCAGAAAGCCCAGGGGCGCCTGGGTGGCTCAGTCGGCTAAGCGTCCGGCCTTGGCTCGGGTCATGGTCTCGCCGTTCGTGGGTTCGAGCCCCACATCGGGCTCTGTGCTGACAGCTCGGGGCCTGGAGCCTGCTTTGGATTCTGGGACTCGCTCGCTCTCTTCCCCTCCCCCGCTCGTGCTCGGTCTCTCCCTCAAAAATAAACATTAAAAAAAGAGAAAGAAAGCCCAGATGCTAGCAGGCAGCACTCGCAAGCCCCATGCCTGGACAATCTCACGTCCTCTCTTCCTGAAACCTCTCCTTGTAATACTGTCCTTCAAGGACCACAAGAAGACAACCCAGAGCCTGAAATGCGGGTCCCCCCTCCACTGGGTTAATTTATTCGTGACAGAACGCAAATCGGGAAGACGCCAGCGCCCTCTCCTCTCATTTGTACCGAAGGAAACAGCAAAGTTGTCAAGATGTGAAAAGTTGTCGTTTTACGTCAGAAGCATCCGAAGCAACACGGAGCGTCATGACGGAACGCTCCCCCGCACCCCCCTCCGCCCCCCTGTAAATCTGTCCTCATTAGCAGCTGCTCTGAGAGGCTGCCGTGATCCCGCACGCCTGGAACCCGGCACAGACACTTTCTCGTTGTAAGTTGCTATGTAAGATCCGGCTAAGGAAGTCACTGTCGTATCTGATAGAACAGGAACACGCTGCCTTTCCAATCCAGCTGGGCTGACTGTTTTGATTGTATCAGGGCTGGACTTAATAAAAGCTCTGAAAACCGTCGAAAATACCGCAAAATTAACGTCCCCTGTCATTTTGGTACCTGGGGCAAGTTTCTGGCTTATTTAGGGACAGGGGAGATTTTAATAGGATTTAAGATTTTTGTATTTTTCCTATTTTCTTACCCATCAGGTATATCTGGGATGCACTGAATTTTACAGAAGAGTGTCTCGGGATAAACACTCGTTTGGGTTTTTTGGCCACCATGTTCCTATGAATTAGCCTTACAAGAAAATGTTCTACCTTAGATGGCGTCTCCCTTAGATAAAGCAGAAAGCTATGGAATGTTACTGGAAAAAAAACTTGATTTTCTTCTGCACTACAGGGGAAGTTCATTTAAATATTTCTCGGGAAGGACGAGACATGTGCCTCTTTGTATAAATAAACGTTCTCCCTGTTAACACGTACTTCCTCTAACTTCTGTGAGTTGGCAGAACATCATCAGATCCCAGACGACTTGCGCCGAATCTGAAATTGCAGACGTGCTCAGCGCGCCTGGGGGGGGCTCAGTCGGTTGAGCGTCAGACTCTTGACTTCGGCTCAGGTCATGATCTCCCAGTTCGGGAGTTCAAGCCCCACGTCGGGCTCTGTGCTGGCAGCACAGAGCCTGCTCGGGATTCTCTGTCTCTGCCCCTCCCCTGCTTGCACTGTCTGTGTCTCTCTCAGATAAATAAAACTTAAAAAAGTATCATTTCCCAAATGTCGCACATCTAAACGCTATTTTATTTAGGACACCGTTAGACGAGAAGTCGATCAGGAAGATCTACTCTACTGCAAAGCTAAATGAATATGAAGGGCCAAAAGTCAAAACAATTATTAAACAAAATTATCTTGACAAACGGATCTTCTTCCGTCTGCCTCCTGAACGGACAACCGTGTTCAACCGCATCTATCCCGTGGGTGCCATCAGTTTCAGAGTTCGAGAAACCTAAAGCAAAGCCAAAATATCACCTTTCCCATTAGTCTATCTGCAAATAAAGGAAGTGCCCAGCCACATGTCAACCCCCAGGCCACTGGCCAAAACCAATGGTTATGTTTTAACGCGACCAGCAACCAGGGCAAAGAGCACGTGTGTCTGGCATTAACTCCCCACGGCATCAAACAGGAAGTGCTGTGAGTGAATCATGTATGATAATGGCAAGGGACATCCTCTCTTTTACAGTTCTTCCCCTTCTGATCAAATCATCTACTGGCCTTAAAACATAGTGAGTTCCGATTCGGAATGCTTAACACAATAAAGTATTGGCTAAACAAATCTCTCCTTTGTTTTTGGAGTCCCCAGGCTTAAGGCGGCTCTGGGCCACAAAAACGCCAATAAGTCTACGTAGAGGATGACAGCCTTCCATCCGTTCCCATTTCTTTGGGCCGGGTCACAAGGAACAGGGGCAACGCTTCCAAGCGGCAGGCTAACCATCGCCAAGAGCACGGTTTTGCAGAACGGAAAACACATACTTTGCCTTCAGTGTCTCCTCCTGGAAATTCCAGTGTGGATCTTCCACCAGCTGTAGTTCTCGCAATACCCTTCCGGGCTTGTAAGCTGCATTGATTATCATGCTGAGAACCTGTCGGGGGGGAAAAAAAAAAAAAAAACAGAACCGCAATGAACTTCAGTGGCATCGCTGCTGAAACAAGAGCACCGCGAAGACCGCCCGCCCGAGGAGGAGATGCGGCTGCTGACACATCCGTTAAGTTGGGTGGAACGTTCTCCGTGGGCTGACACGGATTCGGCTCCGCGCCAACGGGATGAAAAGGGTGGTGAAATTCCGTCGCTCGGGCGGGCGTGTGAACTGCCTGCCGGAGAGGACGGTAGACTGTCCTTAGCATTTCTGGTTGCAGAAACACAGCTCTATTCCCTCCAAAGAGCCGCCAGTTAGCATCAACGGGATTACCCTTCAGTAAGATCAGCTACCGAGAACTTCATTTGATTTTTGAAAATGAGTTTCAAAGGGAACCAATAAGACAGAGGCAGCCGATTGGCGCCAACAACCCTGAACAGACTGCAGGGTTGAAGTCTGAAACTCACCTGGTGCTGGCAATTTACGGACATTTCACACGAGGACGACACTCTCAGAGACGCGAACGTTTCAAAAGACAGTCTGGGGTATCTAGTACCATCCGATGGCGTATTTCCTCAAACCTCCCCCTTATTCCCAATTCCCAAGCCCACGAAAATACACATGTGGTCGCTGCCTCCCGTGGCCCCTCAGAAAGACCGGACGCCGCCCTCTGCGAGCCCCAGCTCTGGGAAGGTAACATGCTCCTGTTTAACCTTGAGTGCCAAGAGCAAGGAATTCGGCTCCCTTGGGGGCATTCCCCTCTCCATAAGCAGATCCTGGTTAACCATGAACGTTTTATGAGTTCCGGCACGTTCAACGGCGGCTGTCTCTTGGTCAGGATGCTTACCGGATGTGAAGGTGCAGCACGGCCCATAAGGGACCACGAGACCCACGGGGTTTAGTTCCACAACATGCGCCTGGGTGACGACCTGCCGGGTGCCAGCCCCAGGAGCACAGGTAGGTACGGGACGGTCCCGTCTCTCCCCGCCCCCCTTCCAGGGAAGGAACAAGGCAGGCACTGGGCTCACATTGGACGTGGCAGAGCGAAAACACCTCTGAGAGGGGGAGGAAAACACCTTGCTGAGATGAAACTGTGGCACCATTGCCAAAGCGCCCAGTGTTTACAGAGGACACAGCACAGCACGCATGAGAGGATGGAGACAAAGGTATGTCGCTGGGCTTTGCATGGTCATGGCGTTCGCGGATGTGACGTGTTCCCGAACACAACTGGCATGGCGGGCACCCTGATTTCATTCTGGGAAACAACCATGCTCTCTCATACGGTAACAGAAGAATCGATCTTCAAAAAGTGCATTTTTTAAAGTTTATTTTGAGAGAGAGAGAGAGAGAGAGAGAGAGAGAGAGAGTGCAAGCAGGCAAGAAGCAGAGAGAGAGGGGGACAGAGGATCAGATGCGGGTTCTGTGCTGGCAGCACAGAGCCCGATGCGGGGCTCGAACTCCTGAACCGTGAGATCACGATCTGAGCTGAAGTCGGACGCTTCACCGACTGAGCCACCCAGGTGCCCCTCAAGATATTTTATACCATGCAGTCCGCGTGGCAAGCATCTTTTCTTAGCCCGGGTCATGCTCTACTCCGAGGGCCCCCTAAGTCCCCGTCAAGAGCACCTGGTTCAGCCAAGGCACTAAAGGGCCAGGACGAGGCCGTACGAGCAGTTTTGGTGTGCTTATGTTTTCGGTATTAGAATAACCGCCTGATTTTACTGTTTGCTGTCAGCACAATTTACAGAGATCGAGTTTAAAAAATAAATCCAATTAGAACTGACTGAAATAATGCACGGAGTATTTATCAACAGACAATAAAATTTAAACCGATTCTTTCCGTTGTGTTTGGTGAGGAAGGCCCAGAGCTACATGTTATTTGCTGCAGAGTGAAATGCACTTTGAGACAGTGAAAAGAAAATGTCTTCCAGAATTCAATTCAGCCTGGGAACGGGCAGCCATTAAATTGTCAAAAGCGTCCAATATTGAATAATTTTCCCACGGCATCTCCAATGCCGCATCATGCACTGCCACATTCAACAGGCTCTCCATAAAACTTTGGGACTGTGAGCGGAATTAATTCTGGTGCACATGACATCTTAGGGCATCACAGTTACCTCCAAGAAAATAACTGAGTTGGCGGCTGGTAACACCACGCAGAGTCAGACTGAATTACTGTTCCTTGCAAAACATCGGAACTCAGTGTGCTGTATTATGCCCTTGATCAGGAAGGGTCGTGTGCAAGCTGCCCCCAATTAACTAAGAGGATGTGAGGTGTGAAGTTAATAAACAGTATGCCCAATAAACAGGCAGAAGGGAGTCTGAGTAACTCCAGGAACGCCTCCCGGGATCTCTTGCAGTTCATGAAGTGTCTGTGCAGAAGCTACTTTACACGTAAGTCTCAGTCGATGTGCGATCAAATCCCAGCTCCGTCCCGTAGAAGCCATGAGTCCTTTACGCTCACCACTCCTTTTGCTGTTAGTTACAAAAACTTGAACGACAGAAGTAATAACCAGACATATTCTACCAAGTGGAGAACTCTGTTGCTTTGGCCGAAACCGACCTCTCGCTTTATACGGATCCTCTGCGGAAGGCTGGCCCCTCCTGGCCGCCCACCACCTTGGAGGGGAGGTGCCCCCTTCGTCCCAGCAGCAAGGCCAGGGAGCCTCCGTGCTCTACTGGTGGGCAGTCTCTCCCCCAACTCAACCCCCCAACAATGAACCCCAGGCTTGGTCACTTCAACTTGACAAAAGACCACTCCCCCAAAGAGGCTATAATTTTCCAGAATTTCCTACCTCCCCCTGGAAGACCGAAAGGAGAATCCCACCATACCCTGAATCTTCGTTCACCTCCGTCACCAGAAACTCAACACTTCCAGAACATTCCTTGCCCCTGGAATCCAATTCCCAAATGGCTCTGCATTTTCCCCTTGTCTGATCCAATCTCAAGTTCCTCCGTGCACCCTGAACCCACCCTTTCTGCCCTCTGGGTTCATGGTCCACCATCAGCAATGTATCCTACAGCCCACAACACTTTCTAGAATATTCTTGTTCACCGTGTGGTGCTCTGGACTGAATTATGTCCCTCACCCTCACCCCCATTTATGTGTTGAAACGCTAACCTCCGTGGGATGGCTTTAGGGATGGAGCCTTTGGGAGGAGAGTAAGGTGTTCCATGAGGCCACGCGATGTGGGCCCTCATGATGGAGTGTACCCTTGCGAGAGCTCTTGCTCACTCTCCCTCTCTCCCCCTCCGTGTGAGGACACAGCGAGGAGGCAGCCATGGGCAAAGCAGGCAGAGAGTCCCCGTGAGCACCCACCTCTGCAGGCACCTGGTCCCAGCCTCCAGACCCACGAGGCACACACGTCCTCGGTCTGAGCAGAACCCGGTCGGCAGGCCCATCCTGTAAGACGACAACTCTCTCTTCATCTTTCATCCACCTGCAGCCGCCTCGTTCGTTCTCTGTTCTCTTGTTATGGTGGAAGCCTCCGGAGCTGTCCGCACTTGCTGGCTCCCTTGTCCCCTGCAGGGCTCTCTGGGGCCCACCCAGGGGCCCTTCCAAGCCCACAACTTGCCATCGCCAAAGAATGGCAATCCTTGGTTGTCTTCTTGGCCCACCCTGTCTGTGGCTCCACACAGCAGGGACGCTTTCTCCTCTACCTCCAAGACTCCAGCCTGTCCAGGCCCTCGTGCATCCCAGCTCGCTTTTCCTGGGTCCTCCTGTGCGTCTCCCGCAAACGACGGTGAGGCTCGGCGCTCAAGTTCTCAGACTGGCTACGTTCACTCCACTGCGCACCTGGCTTTAAACGCTCTCCGCGAATCAGCAAACTCGCGGTTCCCAAATTTGTATTTCCACCCTAGAACTTTCCTCAACTCCAGACACATACAACCGTCTCCACTTGGATGTTTCACGGGCATTGTGTTCGAATCAGACAGATTTCATCTGCCCTATAGCTTTTTCTTCTCGGCAACTTTCCTCTTCTGATGGCGACTTTCCAGGCCTCCGTGAGCTCTGCTATTCTCACAGTCCACAACTGTTCACCAAGAAACCCTCCCTGTATCCAGAGTGCGTGGCTTATTGGCTTACTGTCCACCCCACTAGATCACGAGCACCAAGAAATCAGCGGCTACATTTTGTCTGCTGCTGTATCCATAACAGCTACAATTACACCCGGCAATAGCAGGGGTTCAATCAATCATTCTTGGCGTTTGTTCAATGAATTTCAACTTGAGCGCTGAAATTAGTTAAAATTCTTCCGTACATCTAGAAATTAAGGACTAATTCACGGCAAGAATTTACTTGGGGCCGTAAAATATATAAAATATATGTGGATGGAGGCTTAGGAAGTAACATTTGCTGCTGAGGTCCTTTCCTAGAAAATCCTATCCTACAGTGTGATAAGAGAGTTCCAGAGAGGTATCTTACCTCCTTTACAGGCAAGTGATACTGAACAACAAAAAGTGCCACACTTCTCCTCTGCCAACCTTCCCAGACGTTGCCCGGCGATCTGCTAAGTCTTGCTTCACAGGTTATGATCGTGTTACGGCCCACAAGCCTGGTGCATTGTTCTTTATGGGCTGGCGTTCAGCATAAGCATAAAACAACAGCAACAAGGGGGGCCTGGGTGGCTCAGCCGGTTAAGCGGCCGACTTCGGCTCAGGGCACGATCTCGCGGTCTGTGAGTTCGAGCCCCGCGTCAGGCTCTGGGCTGACGGCTCAGAGCCTGGAGCCTGTTTCCGATTCTGTGTCTCCCTCTCTCTCTGCCCCTCCCCCGTTCATGCTCTCTCTCTGTCTCAAAAATAAATAAACGTTAAAAAAAAATAAAAAAAAAAAACAATAGCAACGAAATACCAGAGAGTATCGCCAAGAGGCCTGTCCCCATCTTAGACTTTGTTGACTGACTTGACTAGATGTCACCCAGGCAAGATGCCATCCCCCCCCCACACACACACACACCATCTTCTCAACTCAATTATACCGAAAAACACAGGGCTGCTGTGGAGAA